CCCCTCCTCCCCCTGCCTCCGCTCTCTCTGGTCGCCTTGCCGTGCGGTCTCGTCCTGCTCCCCTCCTTCCTCGCTCTTTTGTTTCGTCCCCGTCCTTGCCTTCCTCTCTTCTCCCCTCTTCCCGCTGTGCTCCTCGGCTCTTGCTTGCGGCTTTTCCCTCTTGCCCGCCTTTCTTCTCCGCTCTTTTGTGTCTTGGGCCTGCTTGCTGCCTCTTCCTTCGTTGCGTTGCTTTCCTTGTCCCCCGCCCGTCGTTCCCCTCTCCCTCCTGCTCCTCTCCCCTTCTTCTGCCTTCGCTTGGCCCCTTCTCCCTCCCGTTTTCTTCGTCCTTCCCCCTCCTCTCCTCCCCCCTCCTTTGTCCCCCCCCCTGTGCTCCTTTTCTTGCCTTCTCCTCCGGTTTTCTCCCCCCGGCCTTTTGTGCCCCCCCCGTTCCTTCGGCCCGTTGCTCGGGTGTCCTCCCCCGCTCTCGTGCTTGTTTTCCCCCTCTCCCGCCTTCTTCCTCTGTCGCCCTTCTTCCTCTCCCCTTTTCCCTCGCCCGGGCGGTTGCTCCCGTCGCCTTCCTCTTCCCGTCCGCCGTTTCCCCTGCCCTTTTCCCGTCCCTTTGCTCGCCCGTGCCCTTCTTGTCCGCGGCCTCCGCTCGCCCTCTTCTGCTGGCTTCTCGTCTTGCCCCCCGGGTGCCCCGTTTCCTCGCCGTCTCTGCCTTCTTCTTGTGCCTCTCCTTTTGCCCCCCCTGCTTTTCGCCCCCTTCCCTCCTCCTTTGCTTTCTTCCGCCCGCCCCCTTTTGTTCCCCTTCCCTTGTCCTTTTCGGGTCTTGGCCCTCCTTCCCCTCCGTCCTTCTTTTCCCTTGCTCCCGCTCTTCTTGCCTTGCCTTCCTCCCCTCTGGCTCCCTTCGCGCTTCTTCCCTGCTTGTGGGCTCCCCCTGCGCCCGCCCCCCGCCCCTCCCGTCTCTCTTTGCGGCCCTTGTTTTTCCTCCTTCTCGTGGCTCTCCCCTCCCTCGCTCTGGCGGGTGCTTTTTGCGCCCTCTCCCGTCCGGTTGTCGGTTGCCTGGGTTTTCCCCGTTTCCTTGCTCCGTCGGTCCGTTGGCGGTCGCCCCTTTTGCTCCTCCGCTTGCTCTCCCCCTTGTTTTTCCCCTTGCGCCTTTTGCTTTTCCCCGTGGGGCTCTTCCTTGCCTTCCCCGTGTCCTTCCCTCTTGCCCTCCCTGTCCCCTTGCTCCCTCCCCTGTCCCCTTTGCTCTTTCCCCCGCTCTGTCCGTCTCCTTCCCTGCTTTTTCCCCTTGCCCCTTTCCTGCTCCTTTTTGTTGCTCTGGGTTTTCCTTCTCTGCGCTTCCTCCCCTGTCCCCCTGCCTTGCTTCTCTCCCCCCCTTGCTTTCTTGTTCCCTCCTCTGCCTGCTTTGCTGGTCGCTGCCTCTCCCCCCTCTTCCTTCCTCTGCCCGCTCCTCCCCCGTCTTTCGCTCTGTTTTCCCCTTCTTCCGCCTCCCCCTTTGCTGCCCCCCGTCTGGCCCTCGTTGCGTTTCGGTTTTCTCCCCTTGTGTCTCCCGCTTCGCTTTTGCGTCTCGCCCGCGGTGTTGCTTGCTTCCGCCCCCTCTCTTTTCGGTCGCTCGGCTGCCGTCCTCCTCCCTCGTGCGGCTTCTTTTCGCGTTCTCTTTCTTCTTTCGGCTCCCCCTTTTGTTGCGGTGTCCGTGCGGCCGCTCCTTGCTGTCGCCTTCCTTGCGCCTTGCCGTCGGCTTCCTTCCTTGCTTCCCGCCCTCCGTTCCCCGCTCCGTTCGGCTTTTTGCCCTTTTCCCGTCTTTCTCGTTTTGTCGTCGCTTGCGTCGTTCTGGCCCCTTTTGCTCCCCTTCCTTTTTCTTTTGCGCCCTCTCGTCCCTGTGTCCCTGGCCCCTCCTCCCCCCCCCTCGTGTCTCTTTCTTCCCCCTTCGCCTTCCTGGGTCTCCTGGCCCGCCTCGCTCCCTGTGTCGTCGCCTTCGCGGTCTTGTTGTCGCTTCTTGCGCTTTGGCTTTGCCCGCTGCCTTGCTTGCTTTCCTCTTTGGCCCGCCTCCCCTCTTTGCTCTTTCTTGTCGCCCCTGTCGGGTCGCCCTTCCCGCGTTTGTTTCTTGCTCGCTTGTTGCTCGTCTTGCCGTTTCGCTGCTTCCCTTCTTCTGCCCTTCCCCCCTTGTTGCGTGTGCGTTGTTTGCTCGTCGCCCCTGCTTCTTTTGTTGTGTTCCCCTCCCCCCTCCCTCTTTTTCTTCCTTCTTCCTTCGCGCCCCCCTTCTCCGCCTTCTTCTTCCCTTGGCCTTTCTTTGCCGCCCTCTCCTCGCTCTCCTTTGTCCCCCCCTTGCCTTGTCCTTCCCCCGTTGCCTTTTCGCCCTTCCCCCCGGCTCCCTCTTCGCTTTTCCCCCCTTTCGCCCTTGTCCCCCTTCCTTTTGTTCTGCGTCTCGTTCCTTTCCCCCCGCCTCCGCCTTTTGGTCCTTCGCTCTTTTTCCGCTTCCCCCGCCTCGCTTTCTTTCCCGTCCTGTGTCTCGCCCCTCCCCTCTCGCCGTCCCCCCTTCCTGCCCCTCCCTTCCCCCTTTTTCGGTCCCCCCCTTGCTTTGGGTCCTTGGGTGTTCGTCCTTTTTGGTCCCCCCCTCCCCCTTGTCCTCCCTGGCTCTCCGTTTCGGTGCTTGGTCCCCCTTCCCCCCTTCTCTCCTCCTCTCCTTTTTGCCCCCCTTTTTGGTGCCGGTTTTTGCCCCTTGCCTCGCTTTTTTGGCCCTTGGGCCGTCGCTTGTTTGCGCCTCTGCTCGGCCTTCCCTCTGGCCTTCGTCCCTGGTTTCCTCTCCTCCCCCCCCTCTTGTTTCGCGGGCTCCCCTCTCCCTGCCCCCTTCCTCTGCTTTCTTCCCCTTTTCCCTCTGCGGCCTTTGTGGCCCATTGCCTCCTTGGTCTGTTTCCCTTTCGGCCCCCCCTTTTGCCTTTTTGTCTCCTGTTTCGGCGCCCTCTTGTTTCTTTGCGGCTTCGGCCTCCCCGCCTTCCTTTTGCCCTTCGTTTGGTCCCCCTTCCTTGTCTCCCTGTGCTTTCTTGCCCTTTTCCCCCTTTTCCTCCTTGGCCTTTCTTCTTTCCCGTCGTCGTCGCCTTGGCCCTTTTGGCGGCTTGCGCCCCCGCTGGCTCCTCCCCCGTCCGGTTTTCTCCCTTGCGGGTTTTTGCCTCTTTCCCCTTTTGTCCCTTCTTTTGGCTGCCTGTGTCCCTGTTGCTCTCCCCTCTCTCCGGTTGTGTTCTCTCCCTTCCCTTGCTTTCCCCTCTTCTTGCCGCCCCTCCTTTTCTCTTTCCCGTCTTTCCCTTCCCGTCGCGCCTTTTGCCCTTTTTCCTTTCCTTTGCTCTTTTTCCCGCCTCCCCCGCCCTTGCGCTCTTTGCGTTGCGCGTGCGTGTCCCTTCCGGTTTGCCCTTCTTCCTTCCGTGCCCGCCGGCCTCTCTCGCCCCTGCCGCCTTCCCGCCTCCTCCGCGTTCGCTGTTCCCTCCTTTTCTTCCTTTCCCTTTGCCCTCCGCCCCCTGTCCTCGTCGGGTGCGTTGTTGGCGCTGCTCCTGCCCCCCTTGCCTTGTCCTCCTTTGCGGTGTCCCTTTCCTCCTTGCCGCTTCTTCTGCCTCCCTTCTTTCCCGTGGGTCCCTCCTCCGTGCTTTTCTTCTCTCCTTTGTGCCCTTTTCTCTTTGGCTTGCCTTCTTCCTGTTGCGCGTTCGCCCTTTGTGTCTTGCCTTTTCCTTCCCTTGGGTGTGGCCCCCTTGCTGCCCCGTGTCCCGGCTTTCTCCCGTTGTCCCCCCTTTGCCTCTTCCTCCCCCTTTCTTTCTTCGCCTTCTTTGTTGCTTCCCGCTTTCCTTGTGGCTTTTTCTTGTCGTTGCTTCTCTTCCTGCCTTTCCTCCTTTCTTGCCCCCGCGCGCCCCTTGCTCCTTCGGCCCTCCTTCCCCCTTTTGTCCTGCCCTTGCGGTTGCTGGTTGCTCGGCTCTCCGTGCGTTGTTCTTTTCTTCCTGCTCTTCCTCTCTCTCTTGCTTTCCTCTCCCCTTCCTCCGCTTTTCGCTCCCTCCCGCGCTTCTCGGTTGCTCGGGTTTTTCGCTCCCTCTGCTCTCTCCTGGCCGTGCCCTTCCTGTCCCCTGTCGCTGGTCGCCCCCGTCGCCTTTTGCGTGCGCTTTCTTTTGCTTCCTCTCTTTTCCCCGCTCCTTCCTCTCTCCTCCGCTTTTGGCCCCTCTTGTTTCCCTGTCGGTCCTCTTCTCGCCGTTTCGCCTTTTGCCCTCCTCGCCTTTCTTTCCTGCTCTGGTGCGCTTCTTCTCCTTTTCTTGCTCGTCTCCTTCCCCCTTTGCCTGCGCGTTTCCCCCCCTTCCTTCGCGGCTTGCCCTTTTCGCCCTTTTGGCCCTCTCGTGTCCTCGCTCGCTTTCCCCCCTCTCCTTGGCCCTCTTGTCCCCGTTCTTTCTTGTTCTCTCTTCCCGCGCCCCTTCCGCTTTCGGTTTTGGCCTGTCTTGTGGCGTGTCCCTTGTTTGTCCGGCTGCCGTGTTGCCTTGCCCCTCTCCCTCGGCCCCCTCGTCCCCTTCCCCCTTTCCTCCTGTCCTGCGGCTCCCTGTCCCTGCCTGCGCCTTTTCCCCTCCTCCCCTTTTCTCCGGCCCCCCTCCTTTTGGGCCCGCGCCCTCTCTCTTTTCCTCCTCTTGCTTTTTCGCGCTCTGTCTCGCCGTCCCCCCTTGCCTCCCCTCGCCCCCGCTCTGCTCCCCCTTGTTGGTCCCGCTCGGGTGGTGCCCGTCTCGCGGGGGGGGGGGGTGCCTCGCCTTTCCCGCTTTTTCCCCTCCCTCCCTCTTTGTCCCTTCCCCTCTCCGTCCCCGTCCCTCGCGTCCGTTTCCCCTGCCCCCGGCCTCCGTCGTCTGTCCGCGTTGCCCCCCCCTCCTTTCCCTCCCCTGTCCGCTCGGTCCCCTGCTCTGTCCCGTGCCCGCGCTCTCTTGCCTCTCTCCCGGCGCTGGTTCCCTCCCTCTCTCCTCCC